TACCGTGGGGGTTGCTGTGATGCAAGTAGCCAACGCAATCGTTGAGCTACTGCTGTCAAAGGTAGTGACCCTTGGAAACGTGCAGGTCATCATAGATGGCTTCGCCGCAATGGGATTCCCAAACTGCAATGGGGCTATAGATGGAACTCACATCCCTATCCTGGGACCGGACCATCAGGCCAGCCAGTACATTAACCGAAAGGGCTACTTTTCAATGGTGCTGCAAGCACTGGTGGACCATAGGGGGCGTTTTACCAACATCAACGTCGGATGGCCGGGCAAGGTTCATGAGGTTGTGTTTTCAGGAACTCTGGTCTGTTTAGACGGCTGCAGGAAGGTATTTACTTCCCGGACCACAAAATAACTGTTGGGGATGTGGAGATGCCTATAGTGATCCTCGGGGACCCAGCCTACCCGCTAATGCCCTAGCTCATGAAGCCCTATACAGGCGCCCTGGACACTGAAAAAGAACTCTTCAACTACCATCTGAGCAAGTGCAGAATGGTGGTGGAGTGTGCTTTTGGACGTCTCAAGGGGAGATGGAGAAGCTTACTGACTTGCTCTGATCTCAGCGAAACCAATATCCCCATTGTTATTGCAGCTTGCTGTGTGCTCCACAATCTCTGTGAGAGCAAGGGGGAGACCTTTATGGCGGGGTGGGAGGTTGAGGCAAATAGCCTGGCTGCTGATTACACCCAGCCAGACAGCCATGCGATTAGAAGAGCCCAGCAGGATGCGCTGTGCATCCGGGAGGCTTTGAAAGCTAGGTTCCTCAGTGAGCAGGGTAACCAGTGACTTTTAAGTTTGTTTAAAGAGAAGCTGAACCTGCCCCCGTTTCTTTACCCGGTTAATGTTGACTATCCTCTCCAGCTACATACCCCGTTCACCCCGTCCCCCCCCTTCCAACCCACGTTTAAAAATAAAATAAATGGAACTTTGTTAATGAACCCCGTTTTCTTTATTACGGGTTTCGCGGTAAACTGTTGAAACTGGGACGCAGACTGTGGTGGCGAGCGGGCGTAGTGATGGAAAGGACGCTTCTAAACTCGAGGAATGACAGGCTCCTGCTCCTAGAGTGGTCCGCAGTGGTGGACTGGTTGTTTCAACGGAGCCTGCCACCCCTCCTTTTCGGGACTCTGTGTGTGGGGGCTATGTGACTTTGTGGCGGGGGAGGACGGTTACTGATTCAGGGTCCGAGTTAATGCCTGGGGACGGTTGGTAGGGGATCTCTGTGAGGGTGATGAAGAGATCCTGGCTGTCGGGGAAATCAGCATTGTAAGCGCTGTCGACTGCCTCGTCCTCCTCATCTCCTTCCTCATCTTCCCCGTCTGCTAACATCTCCAAGTAAGCAGCCGTCGACAATATCCCATCCTCTGAGTCCACGGTCAGTGGTGGGGTAGTGGTGGCGGCCGCACCTAGAATGGAATGCAGTGGCTCGTAGAAACGGCATGTCTGGGGCTGGGATCCAGAGCGTCCGTTTGCCTCTTTGGTCTTCTGGTACCCTTGTCTCAGCTCCTTGATTTTCACGCGGCACTGCATTGCATCCCGGCTGTATCCTCTCTCTGTCATGGCTTTTGAGATCTTCTCGTAGATCTTTGCATTCCGTCTTTTCGATCGCAGCTCCGAAAGCACAGACTCATCGCCCCACACAGCGATCAGATCCAAGACTTCCCGATCAGTCCATGCTGGGGCCCTCTTTCTATTCTGAGATTGCATGGTCACCTCTGCTGGAGAGCTCTGCATCGTTGCCAGTGCTGCTGAGCTCGCCACGATGTCCAAACAGGAAATGAGATTCAAACTGGCCAGACAGGAAAAGGAATTCAAATTTTCCCGGGGCTTTTCCTGTGTGGCTGGTCAGAGCATCCGAGCTCGGACTGCTGTCCAGAGCGTCAACAGAGTGGTGCACTGTGGGATAGCTCCCGGAGCTATTAGCGTCGAATTCCATCCACACCTACCCTAATTCGACATGGCCATGTCGAATTTAGCGCTACTCCCCTCGTTGGGGAGGAGTACAGAAATCGAATTTAGGAGACCTCTATGTCGAACTAAATAGCTTCATTGTGTGGACGGGTGCAGGGTTAATTCGATTTAACGCTGCTAAATTCGACATAACCTCCTAGTGTAGACCAGGCCTAAGGGATTCACAATCTGGCCTAAAGGTAGTGGCACTCTATTGAGAGAAAAACCCATATGTAGTGTATTACAAAAACTATTATTTAGTGATAACTTTCATATTTCCAAGTTTTCTCATGAAAGATGGTGTACTTCTTCATTTTCCTCAACGTATTTCTTAAAAAACTTGTCTATTTCAATAGTTATAATTAGAGAGAGGTCAAAATCAGAACCTCAGATTCAAATTCCTTTGAATTTGGGGGGCTTGAGGGACTGTGACAGGCGCAGTCTTCTGCTCTGTCTACACAGACTCAGAGACCTTCAGTTATTAAACATCCCACAAACAGTTTATTTACATTTGTCTTCCCACAACCTTACTGATCCATACACCATATTATTTACAGTTTCAGTTTCTTCTCAGTTCTCTGCCAAGGAGAGGAGAGGGAAGAGAACCCTCTAGCAGACGTGCTGGAACAATTTTTTATAGTGCAGGTGCTGAGAGCCATTGAAACAAGCTGTAAACTCTGTATATGATGGAAACCACTTCAAGCCAGTGGGTGCAGCAGCACCCCCAGCGCTAGGTCCAGCATCTATGCCCTCTACCCAGAGATCCTTCCTGGTTCTGGCTCTGCTAGCCTGTCTGTCTTCCCTTCTCTGCTGCCTTCTCTCCTGTGTTAATGTGCCAATTTGTTTTAGTCCTCCCCCACCCCCGCCCATTTGAATCCGCTAATTAGGCCTCTGTTAGGTCCACCCTGGGGGAATTAATTGACGTTTAAGTGACCAGAGTGCTGGCTCAGCTGTTGGTTCCCAGTATTCCGTCACAGGGAGTCACAAAGTTCTGGGGCTAATCAAGAATTGGAAGAGTTTATTTTCCATTTCTGGTTGAGAAGCAGCCAGAATCTCACAAGAATATTAGATCTTGCAAAACATCTACCACTGATATAGCAAAGATCTTTCAAGATCAGCTATTCTGCTTTACATGGCTGAAATCTCACAAGAGCAGTGCCAGCCCAATTTTTTTCACCATTTCTAGCTGCAAAGATGCATCTGAGGGCAGATTTGGGGTGTCTAAAACTGTTAGGAGGAAACTTTAAATTATGACTGTGCACAGTTGTACCTAAAGTGTGTGTGTGTACACACACAGTTCTCTATGACATTCTTTTTCCAGGGTTTATGTAAATCTCTACCCTTTGGCCATCTCATTGCCTCATGTGTGTTCCAGGAAACTCTCCACAAAAAGACAACTTGAAAAAAATGAATCTGTTTTTCTTAAACACATGATACACCTTTTCCATATTAATCTGTATAATTCCACAGATTCTAGTAATTTAAAAATAAATAACAGCTTTAAATCCAGTTCTAGGATATATCTTTCACTCTTCTCATCCATTCACTTGTGTTCAGAATACTTGTTACCAATTTTAACATCAATTATACTTTTCTGCCTGTAGCTTGTTATTGGCTGGTGCTCTCCCTTTCATCATACGCATGCCTGAAAAAGGATTTGAGTGTGCATCAAGGGGATAATACACCACCAAGGGCCAAATTCTGTTTTGTCTTAGTCATATGCTGTGCTGCAACTGGCTCCCTTTAGCTGCTTCTCTGCATGACCTCTGAGCACAGCTCAGATATAATGGGGAATCAAGGCCATCCAGAACCTTCAAGATTGAAGTCATTTTATAAATTGGAGACATTATTATGTTTATTTACATATTTATATTCCCAACCATTTTAATTGGTATGTTCCTCATTGTTTTTATTATTTATAACACATTGTTTTAGCTGTAGAACATGGAGTTTCTGCTTGCTGTCCACAAGCAATGTTCAAGCCATTTGACATATGGAGATATAAACCTATCTCAAAGAGCTAGAAGGGACCCTGAAAGGCCATTGAGTCCAGCCCCCTGCCTTCACTAGCAGGACTAAGTACTGCTTTTGCCACCCCAGCTCCCTAGGTGGCCCCCTCAAGGATTGAGCTCACCACTCTGGGTTTAGCAGGCCAATGCTTAAACCACTGAGCTATCCCTCCCTCCCAGCTTATTTGCTACAGAGAGTATCTTGCTGTGGCAAATGACACCAGTAATCTGGGATCTTCACCGGCTGGCTGTTGGTTACCAGCCTGATTTTAATATGTTAGTATTGACCTTAGTGCCTCATGCAGCTTGGGATCTACCTGCCCAAGACACCGTCTCCCTCCCCATACTGCAGTTGCAGTAAGCAGACATGCTCCCACTGGAGCTCCTTTGACTTGAAAGAGAGGCAATGTCTGGCAAAAGGGTGACCGTAGGCTTTGGAATTTACTTCACTCCTGCCCCCTCTTTGCTCAAAAATAGCCCCAATCCTTTGACTTTCAGGATACGTCAGAAGGCCCATCTCTGTTCCCAAGCTTGTAGAATGGGGGGGGGGAGGGGAGGAGCCATTGCTGGAATGAGTGCTGTGAGGGTGAAGATTTGTGGCTGGAGCAGTATTTTTTTTCTTTTTTAACAGAGGGAGAGAGGGTCGATACTATGTTTATTTGTGCATTTTAATGTTTGGCAAATGTGCCTGGAGCCTTGGATAGATGCCTTGTTGTCTGTCTAAATCTAAATAAATATTAGAAAATAACGGGCCTGCCTCTGCTCTGTTCCATTGGTTTTAGGGTAATGTCAATGCAGTTACACAGAAACATAGGCATTGCTACACTGAATCAGACAGTCCCACAGTCCGTCTAGTGTAGTACCCTGTCTCTGACTGGTCACCATCAGATGCTTCAGAGGGAGATGCACGAAATGCTGCAGTAGACCGACATGGGATAGTCTAACATAAAATTGGTGTTACAGAGCAGAGTCTGGCTGAATTTCTGTAAAAAAAAAGAAAGCGTTGATTTAATTAGACCTTTCATTTCCCAGGAAGTTAAAAAAGCTGTTCAGGAAGCTGAAGGATGAAAGGACTGAGAAAAAGGAAAATGACTCCAACCACTCAAAGCACCCTCAGCAATGGGATCTTGATTACATGCTGGAACCTTTCACTGGACTGACTCCAGAATACATGGAAATGAGTAAGATCTCATGAGGGTCTGTTATCTTAAAATCTTGTTTTTCCCCCTTCTGTTTCAGTGGATTTTAACAGCAACCATTGCCACATATTAGCCTGAGAAAAGATACATGTTTTAAGTGTTGCCTTGGCTTCATGAAAGTTATCTACAAATGAAGTGGGTGCAGAGGTGGACCATACCAGCAGCAGAATAACACTCGGGCGGTGCAGTGTTTAATAATTACTAGACTTCCAAAAATATGATTATTTGTATTACAGTCATGCCTGGAGACCCCAAATGAGATCAGAGTCCCATTGCACTCAGCACAGGGCACATACATAGTAAGAGAGAACCTCTGCCCCAAAGAGCTTATCTTATACATAAACAAGACAGACAAAGGGTGGGAGGAAGGAAGAATTATTATCCCCATTTTACAGATGAGGAACTGAGGCACAGAGGGATTGAGTGACTTGTCCAAGGTCATGTAGGACATCTGCAGCAGAGCCCAGAATGGATCCCAGGTTGCCAGGGTTCCAGGCTAGTGCTTTAAAGAAGATTATCCTGCCTGTCAAGTAGTGTATGCACCCTTTCTCCTCTGCCAGCCACAGTGCAGAAGAGGTGGCCATGTAACTAACACACACACACACACACACACACACGGTGCCATTGCTTGTGCTTATGTTCCTATGGTACTTGCACTCAGGGATATGGATCTTGGGTACGATTCTTCTCTCACACCAGTGTAAACTGGGTGTAAGTCCACTGAAGTCAGTGGAGTTCCACTGCTGTGAGAGGAGAATCAGACCCTATATGCCTAACATTTTTATACAATCCATAAATATGGGCACACTCTAATTTCCATTGACTGCTGAGTTAATGTTTCCATATGGCTAAACAACTCTGTGATCCAGAGTGTTAGTTCAGTCAGGCCAGTACTGCTGCTGTGACTTCAGCTGCAGTTATCGCACTAATACCACTGGTCTTCATACATTTGAAGGTGAAGAACCAAGCCCATAACAGCCTCCGCCACACAACAGAAAAGACGTCTGTAAATAATAAACACTTAGAAACCGTGAGCAACTTCTATGGAAACAGAATTCATGGTTTGGTGAAAGGTTTTAAACAAAGCTTTGTGCTGTTCCATTGTTTTCAATCAAGTTACACAGGCATAATATAGAACAGAATCTGGTCCATGTGGCAGATGGACAGTGCAGTTTGCACGACAGAACAAATGGTTCTCTTGTCAAAAGATGTGCTATGCCAGTCATGAACTGGTGTTTGCAGATCTAGATGTCGGCTCTGTGCAAATTGGTGCTGTAGTAATACCAGCAACCCAGGAGTTTCTGTCTGCCAGAGTTTTACAGGAAATGCTCCACCAGCAGAAAGCTTATGTCATAAGAATATAAGAACATACTGCGCCAGACCAAAGGTCCATCTAGCCCAGTATCCTGTCTTCTGACTGTGGCCAATGCCAGGTGCCCCAGAGGGAATGAACAGAACAGGTAATTATCAAGTGATCCATTCCCTGTCGCCCATTCCCAGCTTCTGTCAAACAGAGGCTAGGGACACCATCTCTGCCCATCTTGGCTAATAGCCATTGATGGACCTATCCTCCATGAATTTATCTAGTTCTTTTTTAACCCTGTTATAGTCTTAGCCTTCACAACATCCTCTGACAAAGAGTTCCACAGGTTGACTGTGCATTGTGTGAAGAAATACTTCCTTTTGTTTGTTTTAAACCTGCTGCAGATTAATTTCATTTGGTGACCCCTAGTTCTTATGTTATGAGGAGTAAATAACACTTCCTTATTTACTTTCTCCAGACCAGTCATGATTGTATAGATCTCAATCATATCCCCCCTTAGTCGTCTCTTTTCTAAGCTGAAAAGTCCCCGTTTTACTAATCTCTCCTCATACGACAGCCGTTCCATACCTCTAATAATTTTTGTTGCCCTTTTCTGAACCTTTTCCAATTCCAATATATCTTTTTTGAGATGGGGTAACTACATCTGCACGCGGCAGTCAAGATGTGGGCATACCATGAATTTATATAGAGGCAATATGATATTTTCTGTCTTATTATCTATCCCTTTCTTAATGATTCCTAACATTCTGTTAGCTTTTTTGACTGCCACTGCACATTGAATCGATGTTTTCAGAGAACTATCCACAATGACTCCAAGATCTCTTTCTTGAGTGGTAACAGCTAATTTAGACCCCATCATTTTATATGTATGGTTGGGATTATGTTTTCCAATGTGCATTACTTTGCATTTATCAACATTGAATTTCATCTGCCATTTTGTTGCCCAGTTACCTACTTTTGACAGATCCTTTTGTAGCTCTTCGCAGTCTGCCTGGAACTTAACTATCTTGAGTAGTTTTATATCATCTGCAAATTTTGCCACCTCACTGTTTACCCCTTTTTCCAGATCATTTATGAATATGTTGAATAGGACTGATCCCAGTACAGATCCTAGGGGACACCACTATTTACATCCCTCCATTCTGAAAACTGACCATTTATTCCTTTGTTTCTATCTTTTAACCAGTTACCAATCCATGAGAGCACCTTCCCTCTTATCCCATGACAGCTTACTTTGCTTAAGAGTCTTTGGTGAGGGACCTTGTCAAAGGCTTTCTGAAAATCTAAGTACACTATATCCACTGGATCCCCCTTGTCCAGATGCTTGTTGACTCCCTCAAAGAATTGTAGTAGATTGGTGGCGCACGATTTCCCTTTACAAAAACCATGTTGACTGTTCCCCAACAAATTATGTTCATCTATGTGTCTGACAATTTTGTTCTTTACTAAAACAACAAGGAGTCTGGTGGCACCTTGTTCTTTACTATAGTTTCAACCAGTTTGCCTGGTACTGAAGTCAGGCTTACCAGCCTGTACCTACCTAGCTCTTAGTTATCCTCCTTTGGACTCTATTCACCCCCACTTCCCATCAGCAAAGAGAGTAGCATCATTTCTACTACCAAGAGAGGACAGTGATACCAGGCATGAATTTGACCCAGGATGCACATCAGCATCTTCTTCACACAGCGCACAGTCAACTTGTGGAACTCCTTACCTGAGGAGGTTGTGAAGGCTAGGACTATAACAGCATTTAAGAGGGAACTGGATAAATTCATGGAGGTTAAGTCCATTAATTGCTATTAGGCAGGAGGGTAAGGAATGGTGTCCCTAGCCTCTGTTTGTCAGAGGGTGGAGATGGATGGCAGGAGAGAGATCACTTGATCATAACCTGTCAGGTTCACTCCCTCTGGGGCACCTGGCATTGGCCACTGTCAGTAGACAGGATACTGGGCTAGATGGACCTTTGGTCTGACCCAGTACGGCCGTTCTTATGTTCTTATCTGATACGGAATTCCAAAGCAAAGCTTATAAAGGGCTCCATTCCCATTCTAAGTGTGCATGTAGAATAAGCTCTGAGGAGCATCAGTATGAATCAGCAGAACCCAAGAGGGCAGAGGTGGAAATAATCAACAAATGACTCAATGATGCAGTTCTGGGATACAATCCAACTGCATCAATCCGCAGGGACATGAGACTACAAAGAAGCAGTAGGCAGGGATTCCAGGGAATAAGTTAGAGGCCAGAGTGTTCACACTAGATACAAAACAAAATTGCTGCCTACCCCAAAGCATTACTGCAGCATCAAAAGAGGATCCCAGAGGGACCAAGCACAGCACAAGCTTCAGGGTAGGAAAGCATTCAGAAAAGAACCACAGCTCATCGCACGTATGGCAAATTATCTGAAATCAGACATCTGTTAAATATTGTATGTCACACCTTCGTCTTAAACTACAGACAATCCACTGTAACAAAAGCACCTGAATATATGCATTTTATGATACGTGTCAGACAAGACAGACATATTTTATGTAAATATTTTAATTGATGTTTATAATGGCAAGTGCATTGTATCATTCTCTATAGCAGGGGTGGGAAAACTAGGCCTGCGGGCCACATCCGGCCCGCAGAACCGTCCTGCCCGGCCCCTGAGCTCCTGGCCCGGGAGGCTAGCCCTGGCCCCTCCCCTGCTGTCCTCCCTCCACCCTCAGCCTCAGCTCGCTTGCTCTGCCGCCGGCGCAATGCTCTGGGTGGTGGGGCTGTGAGCTCCTGAGGCAGCGCAGCTGCAGAGCCCGGCCTGACCCGGTCTCTGTGCTGCGTGGTGGCGGTGGCGGCCACTGGTGCTCCAGGCAGTGTGGAAAGGGGGCAGAGAGCGGGGGGGTTGGATAGAGGACAGGGGAGTTTGGGGTGGTGGTCAGAGAGCAGGGTGTAGATAGGGGTCGGGGCGGTTGGGGGGGAAACAGGGGGTTGAATGGGGGCAGGAGTCCCGGGGGGCAGTCAGGAAGGAGAGGGGGTTGGATGGGGCGGCAGGGGGCAGTCAGGGGACAGGGAGAAGGGGTAGTTGGATGGGGCAGGTGTCCCCGGGGGGCCGTCAGGAATGAGAGGAGGGGTTGGATGGGGCGGTGGGGGTCTGGAGACAGTCAGAGGACAGGGAGCGGTGGTGTGTGGATGGGGCAAGGATCCCAGAGGGGCCATCAGGGAACAGGGGGGGTTCGATGGGGCAGGAGTCTCGGGGAGGGGAGGGGCAGATAGGAGGTGGGGGCCGGGCCACGACCCCCTTCCCTAACCGGCCCTCCGTACAATTTACGAAACCCGATGCGGCCCTCAGGCCAAAAAGTTTGCCTGCCCCTGCTCTATAGCTAAGTTTGTGGCCAGATCCTTTGACCCTTCAGTGGTGCAAAAGGGCCTTAAAGTCGCCTTCCCCAACTATCCTCCCCTTCGCCAGCTATTTCAAGAACTGTTCTTGCTCACCTGGGGATCTGGCTGTATGTTGCAATCTTCATTATTTTAAACCCCCCACCCCCATTTTCACATGTGGGACTGAAATGTTCCAGGCTTTGCTTCAGCTCAGAGGTGCATTTTGTTTTGAAAGTTTGAGCAAACTCCTGTCAGCAATATTTGACTAATACAAGAGTGAAAAAATATAGACTTTTCCCCTTGT